GAACCAACCAAACATTTAATTGACTGAGGATACTGATCAGGGTGATTCAAGATGCAGAAGGTGAAATGCTAGCAAGAGTCTTCATATTAGGAAGTAAACTGGGAAAACTTATCTGGAACTTGATAAAAGGGGAATTTATTATGCTATTTTGTTGATAAATTTGAGTTTTCTATAATAATGTAGCTAATGATATTCAAACTCTGAGAAAAGAGTAATGTCTAAGTTGTTGAGACACTAATATGTTTTCCTACAACAGGTGATGGGAATAGACAAAACTAACAGCTCTAAGGCAGATGTTATCTTAATGTAACACCAAATTCTTGTAAATTACTCATAAAGGAAATCTGTAGCTAATAGAACTGAGAATGGTGATTATTATTAATAGTGTTTTTACAGCTGTAGTTAAAACAATTGTTTGGGTCTGACTCATCACTGTCAATGTTCATTGCCTTGCAATTAGTTATCGTTTTGTGATGCAAAATAAAAATGATGCTGTTAAAGAAAGATTAAGATTTTTTAATGTTACCTGGTTGGAATTTCTCAAAGGTTTGATAATGGGACAAGAGATGCTTCCTTTTCAATCGGTCTTCAAGGCATCAAGAAAGATGACTACCCAATAGTTGTTGAAAAAATTCACAAGACATTTGACCAGGTTATTGAGTAAGTAAATCATGAAGATTATATAGCTGTGAAAAACACCAGATTGACTGAAATTAAACCCCGAACCCAAAACTAAGAGACTTGTTACGAGCTTGCAACTTTTTTTTTTTTTTTTACCATTTTGTCATGCGAACCACTTGCTATTAACAACAAGTCCTTTTAGGTTGTACAAAATTTTCGAAATTTTCGTCATACTGAGGGCCAAAAATTTTTCCCTCGGCCCAACCAAACTTAGTCAAAAGTACACAGTATGTTACTCCAACGTGGCCGTCCATTGATTGCAGGGAAGGTTTTCCATCTGAGAGGGTAGAAGCTACTTTGCACAGGGTGGAGCTTGCCACAAAGCATCAGAGCAGTAACTTTGGACTGGGACTCATTACGGTAAATATTGTAAGAGCCCTTTGACTCCAGTGACCGAAAAATACGTTTTTTTCTTCGATTTTACTGTAACTATCGAAATGCTACGGGTAACTTGATTAATTTGTAAATTAAGACCTCGTTATCTTATGTTTCGTCCAGGGAATAATGTCAGCATGGAATCATGGTGCTGATCCATCACAGTATCTGCTTATTAATGACCATGTGCTGCTGTTTAAGGTAGGCCGGGGCATAAGTGGTGCTGTGTGCGATCAAAATTTACTATCTTTCTTTTTCTAGTGTCCCTATCTTTCGCTTTTTTTCTTTGTCCTATAATTGATCTTTTCAGTTCCCCTACAATCTCAAAAACATTTGAAATTTCATTTGTTTTCAGGAAAAATTAGCAAACGGATCATTTCTACAAGATAAAGTGAAGGATTGTTTTAAGGACAACCCACACTGCCTCACACTTGTCATGAATCCTGATGTAAGTACCGCTTTGGTTCCGAGCGCTTTCTCAACCGATTTCATCGTTCATAAAACCTGCAAGAATACTCTCTCTTAGACAGAATTTCAACAAATGATTCCGCGGTAATTTTGCCATCTTACTGCTTTAATGGACGTGCTTTGAAGCTCGTTCACTGGAAACAATTGTTTTCTTGAGCTGGTAACATAGAGGTAGATGTTCAAAAAAAGTTAAAAATGAAGAAATAATTAATCAGCATTTTTCTTGGTATGGTAAAAGGGTTTTTTCAGTTATAGAAGTTTTATCACCAGACGCAGACTAACAGCCAGAAGTCTTTAAAACTTTTTCAAATTTTTAAATTTTTCTTTCTTTTTACCTTCAAAACAGCCAGAGTATGAGACAGAACTGAACAAGAAAGAAAAAGAAAAGTTACAAAGCAAAATTAGCTGTTTATCT